AAAATATTGAAATAAACGAGGCATTTTTTTATATTTGTATAAGTACGATAAAGATTGTTTTATTTTGAATATTTTTCAATCAAATGATTAGTAATACAAAATAAATATAAAATAAATGTTTCAATATCAAAATTAATAAATTATTAATCCAATTAACATGTAAATTCCTCCATATTTATAAGTAATGCTGTTCGCTTATTAAATAATCGTAAAATACTAAAAAGATTGCTTGTTGTTTACAGAGCTTATAAATAATGCTACTTGATTTGATTCAATTATTTATCAAATCCCTCCTAAACTATAACCTCAATCAATCACAGAATTTTCTCACAGAAGGAAATCGATCGATTGAAACAAAAGGGATCTATTCTGCCTGTGATATTCTCTGATAAACAATAAATCCGCCATCAAACAGAAATAAAAAAACCTTTATCACTATTGCTAATTATCTCTATGCTAATTATCATAATACTTCCACTAAAGCTTGTTAAAATTTTAATTTTTAAATTTTTTGAAATACAAATAAGTATTCTATGAGATAGAAAATTATATTCTACACTGGAAAATGCATGTCTTTTAATAAAATAAATGCATCATTTTGATATTTACTTATTAAACAACTATTATTTATTCGTATATGAGGAAGGATAAATACTATTTCCACAATATTTAGCATCATTTTCATCATTTTCATCATTTCTGATATCTGTTGTTTTCAAGCATACCTGTTGAAAGTAACTTCCAATGCAGGCGGCAATTACACCAGTAAAAAACGCCAATGATAATACAAGACCGAGAGCTCCTGGAGAGTATTGAAATGGTTGAAATCATCGTACTTCGGTAGCTGATTACATTAAGAAATTTATCAAGATTTATGCGAAATTATGCTCAATCAATTGTTTGTTCAAATAGATCAAGTATACTAATTAATTGAATTTAATCCATTAATCCATTATTGTTAAACTGATCGAATCGATAAGTTCAATCAAATTATTTGAATTTGCATAGAAGCAAATCAAAAGTTCTAGCAATGCATAGCAAAATGATTCTTAATGGAAAATATGCTAAGCTAATTTTTAATACTATCACTAATTCCTTATTTTTTTTGCTAATTCGATTCAAAATACAAAATGTAATTTTCTTTTGCTAATACAAAATGTTTTAATTCAATTAGCAAATTAATTCTGTCAGATTTACCCGTACATTTTATCTTTAAATGAAATTAATTTTTTAATAAAATGAATGAATCATTGTTATAGCATTTATTTTAGAACAATTAAAAGTATCAATTTTTCAATTTGACATCTTTTTTTTTCCTAATTTTTGAAAAAAAAAAAATAAAAGTTCATCTGAACTAACCTGTTTTAGTTTTTTGAATTGGCAAAACCATTTCGTATTCTTCCAAGACTGGACAATTTAAATGTATATTTAAACAGTTCGAATCATGACAACGTTGTTTATCTGTTTCCCAAATTATCAAGCATTCATGCTGAAAAATTAAAAGTAAATTTCTGAATTTCTTTCGTGAATTTAGGAAATTTTTCTTTTTTCCATTTTTTTTTTTTAAATCCAAGATTAAAATTCTTAATCTCCTCATCCAGAAAATAATTATAAATAATTTCAAAAAATTTTCCATTTAAAAATGTCATTTTTTTCTTTTAAATAATAAAAATTCAATTTAATTAACCAATTTTTCATTCTTTTGAACAGTACATGCAACAGATGATTTCCCGACTGTTGTCATTTCAACCATACGACAAACTGCATTAACTGGCATGCAAGATTTCCAATAACCACCATTACCTATATTACTCTCATCTATTCCTGTACCTGTCGTTTTATTATCGCTAAAGAAGAAGCATGATCGAGTGCTATCTGAAATTTTTAATTTTTATTCTTTTTTTTTTTTTTTTGTTTGATACGTATATTAAAAAATAGTTTGAAAATTGTTAAATGTAACCTTCTGGTGCTGGAACCGAGAGAAGTGGAGGATGTGGTAGTGCTTTTTCAATGATAATATTTTGCTCCTGTTCGATGACATCATTATCACTGATAATATCATTATCCAATTCTTTTGCAATTGGGCATGATACTGTTACCGAATGACAATCTCCTTCCTCCGAACATTTCTCTTTCATTAATGGAACATTTCCGGTTACAATACATGATACCTATAGTTATGCTAATTAAATTCATTATTTAATTAATTTTTTTTTTCACACAGTCATATTTACTCCTTTGTTTTATTACATTTTTCATTTATTTTTAAATTTTTTTTCATTAAACCTTCATTTATTATCTCTCTTTTCGTGCAAAAAAAAAATTTTTTTAGATTTTATAAAATTTGAAATTCTAAGTAAAAGCATAATCTCTCTCTCTCTCTCTCTCTCTCTCTCTCTCTCTCTNNCTCTCTCTCTCTCTCTCTCTCTCTCTCTCTCTCTCTTCCCTAATTAGTTTTGATTTCTCTTCTTTTTTTTGTACTTTAATTTTTAGTGAGATTAATTTTCTCTTACGTTATTTACTCAATATTTGTTAGTATTTTGTTTTGTAATTTGTAATTTCGAGAATTAATCTCAATAAAAATCAAAATACAAACTTGAAAACTTGAAATAAAAGGCTAATTATTGTAGCGCTTAGATTATTACTTAATTCTTACTTAGCAATGTAGCTCATTCAATCAGGAAATATCAGGTTTTAAAATTGCACAGTTTTTTAGATTTCATAAAATTTGAAATCTTAAATAAAAGTATAATTTTTTGAAAGTTGAAATTAATAATACAGATTACCAGTGGTGCTTTGCTTGCCGTATTTTCATTATCCATAATGCAGACAAGTTCGGTTAAATTAACAACAATTGGATTTCTCAAAAAACAACGAAAATTTTCGGGAACACAATCATCCAGTTGACCTCGTAGTAATACTTTACCATAATTTCTACATGTTACCGATCGAATTAATGGATTTTGACCAATAATAGTTGGTGCTATCATTGCTAGTAAAAGAATGCCGAGGAAAATTTTCAGTAATTTAAGCATATTCAATTAGCACATCAAATTGTTAACAGTGAAATTGTTTCAAAAGCAAGCAAATTGATTCGCTGAGTATGGCAAAAATGATTCAATGAATTGCTTGAGTTTTATTATGTTTTTTTTTCTTCTTTCTTTTTTTTTTTGTAAAACATTCTTTTCTTTTTTAACATAAAAACGAATACTTTTTAGAAAAGTGAAAATATGAGAGTGAACAAAAAAAAAGAAAAAAAAAGGAAAGAAAAACACTTCTAATATTACTTTCTTCATTTCTTTTTTTGCATTGAAAATTCTTTGTTTCTAAACAATTTTCATTCATTTTTAAGATTAAAAAAAGAAAGGTTTTCAATTTTAATTATTCAATTTTACTACGATTATTTTCATTTAATGTCTTACTATATATGCATAAACTTATGATTATTTTTGTCTTGTTATATCATCTATGAAGGTTGAAATAGTGATGTAATTTGGAATATGATAAAGACTGAGAGGAAAACGAAATATATTTGACGTTTCGGTACAAAAAAAAAAAAAAAAAATATTATAGGCTATGGTTGAACGTAAATATTGATTAAATCAAAAGAATAATTCAAGTAATGATTAACCTGATTTATTTGATGTTTGCAGGAAATTTTTCATTGAAAATTTGCAATAGCAGGTGTAAAAATTAATTCTTGTAAACTTTAGATAAAACTTAAATGATATTAGGACTGGTTAATATATCCAAAAGTTGACTGCTAATAGACAATCAATTAATTAAAAGAATTGAAAATGAAGCAATTATTTGTTGAACAGGTATACTGATGTTTTGTTATATTTCACGTAAATTTTATGAGAACGCTACAACCAAATGATTTAATGTGTTCTCAATTTTTATATCACGTATTGAGGCATTAAATAAAAGCTTTTATTTCATTTATATTTGCTTCATATTATTTATTTGATGTTTGGAGGAAATTCTTCATTGAAAACTTGCAATGCAAAGGCGTGCAAATAAACAAACAAGAAATTGAGTCTCTCTCTCTCTCTCTCTCTCTCTCTCTCTCTCTCTCTCTCTCTCTCTCTCTCTCTCGAAGAGGGAGAAGAAAAAATGAAATTGAAATTGAGCATATTGAAGGTCTCTTGCCATAAATGTTTTGGATTTATTCTGATCAAAAAATTCAGATAAGCTTCTTTTTTTTTTTTGTCCTTTCGTCTTTTACAGCTGAGATTTTTGTTTAGCATTAATCTGGCCGACTTATACGCGTCGTTAATTGAATTTTCTGATTCAATGAGGCTTGATAAAGTGGTAATAGTGGTACCAAGAGGAAGCAATTAGCATGTATATGCGCAAATGCCCTTTCAGCAGTGATACATGTCGGATCAGTTAATGTATCGCGTCTGAAAATGTCATATTCTGAAGTGTTGAAGTGTTTTCGTTTTGAAATTAAATAAATTTTCATCATCATAACAACTATTTTTTGATCAATAGTTGGTTAATTTTAATAAAGCTTAAAAAAATGTTAGCATGAAATTTGAAACGAAGCAATTAATTTTGAATGATTCTAAAGATTTTCCATATTACGTTAACTTCTTCAAAATGATTTTAAAATGAAAAAGAAAAATCTTGGATTAAAATAATTTTCCAAATTAATCATGCATCATGATGTTGAAATAAATTTATTTGTTAAAAATTGAGCTTAAAATAATCTAATATTGAATCGGATCAAAAAAAAAAAAAAACTTTAGGGAAGGAAATGATTGAGTTTGCTTATTTGAAATGTAATTATAGCGATGCAAATCATTATTGTAAGTTAATATTATGGTTAATAATGCAATTTGTTAAATTAGAAAGTGTGATAAGGTAAGTACAAAACCAGTTGATTTTCATGAAATATTAGATAGT